TTACCGCAATGGGTATATATAGCAAAGTTACCAGAATGAATATATATAGTAAAGTTACCATAATGGGTATATATAGTAAAGTTACCGTAATGGGTATATATAGAAAAGTTGCCATGTGGTTTCCCCAATGTAGTAACTTAAGTTAATTTCCTGAACAGCAACCCAGGTTGTTTCATAAGCCTTCGGGCAGCTTCGTTTGCACGGCTGCCTGGCCAAAAAAGCAGAACGATTTCATCATCATTTTGAGCCATAGTCTAAACTCCTCCAAGGGGGCTATATAGGGGAGTGGTAGGGGATTGTAGGGGAGTAGTATAGGGGTTTTTAAGGAGGACACTAGGAGTTTAGACTATGGCTCGTTTGGTCTTTGGAGTGATACAATTTTAACAAAAAGGTCCTCAAGTAGCCCCCGAAAAGCGTTCCAGACATTCTCAACACGTCCTTAATGTTTCAAACATTCGAGACGGGCCCATGATAACTAACACAGCAAAAACAACCTGCCAGTCATGAGGACATGCTCATTGGCCTTTCAGATGAGCCGCCAGAGATCTTGACGTTGCCGGGCAGATGCTATGAAATTAAGGTAATCCAAGCACTTGAGAGCAACCCTCGCTGCAATTGCAGTTCAATCCACTACCTCAGATACCCAACACCCCTGCGGGGTGTGAAGTACTCCATTTCGCAGTCCAGATAGACTCGGTGAACATTTAGCGTTAGGGCGCGGGCCATGTGCTACAGTTACAGTAGGTGGAAGGGACAAGACTAAGAGAATCGAATGGCCCAAGTGCAAGGCCTTAATCAATCCTAAGGCCCAAGGCAACTACTCTGAACACCCTAGATCCTGAACCCTAAACCCTAAACCCTTTTGCTTGCTTGAGCGATGCGCGTGTCTAAACCCTAAACCCTGACCCTACCCAACCCTCCCAGGTTATCACCATACAAGGAAGGCCTCCTTTGGTTCTCCCGCAATGAGCCGTTGGAAAAGGCAGGCGGTTGCGTTCCTCTTGTTGATGCTCGAAGTTCTTCTTGCTCTTCACTATACTACTATAATTGCTAAAGCGCTACAATTACTATAATTTTTTGAATTGTTATGCTATAGTACTATAAGTACTTTCATATTTACTACAAGCGCGATGATACAATAAGTACTAGAATTCCCAAGGTATAAGGTACTTCAGGTCATCTCTTCCGTGTGACCCAAAACCCCAATCCAGCACGCCTTGAACCTCCAAAGTCCCTTAAGTAAGGGTTTAGGGTTCAAGGGTTGAGGGTGTATGGGTCTTGGGGTTTCTTGATATGACACCAATTATATTGAGTGTTTACGTGCATTCGTGGAGCGAGGCACTCGGTAGATTCTGACTCTTGTAGTGTCCACTTGTGGCGCAGCAGCTAGTTCCGCTGACCGGCAGGCAGGAGGCAGGGCGTCCTCTAGAGTCCCTTCCCCAAAAAGGGGTTCGGGTTTGGGGTTTAGGATTTGGGGCTTAGGGATAATGACTCCTAAGCCCTAAATAAACAGTAAATCCTTAACCCTCATCCTATCCCCTTGGTAGCCAAAGCCCTCACCTCCGGAAGTTCGGGGATTTAATGACCAAGTATGATTGGGGTTATATCCTCACCTGTATTTTGGGCTAACCCATCTCCGTACACGGGGGGAACCATTAGCTACTGACTTTTGGAAGCCTGCAGGTGGGAGAGGGGGAGTGATCTTCCTAGACCCTAAACACCCTAAAGTTCCAAAGCTGTAAGCCCCAAACCCCTATATGGGCCATAATCTAAACTCCTTAAAGAGAGGTTACATATGGTATGATATGGGGGACGGTTATAGGGTCTATTTAAGGGGGATACTAGGACTTTAGACTTTAGCTCATATGGCGCCGCATCCCACAAGGAACGAAGCCATTAAACCCTAAACACTACCCTAAACCCTAAACCCTAGACCCACAAACCCTAAACCAAGGGGAGCCGTCTTGCAGGTTGATGTCAGCAGCCCACAGACGTTGAAAGACGGCTACCAGAAGTGGCTGGCCTCATTCCATTTTTTAGGGTTTAGGGTTTAGGGTCCATCTACCTGTGGTCAGCTTGGAATGAAGGAATGGATCCTTATAGTAGTCCCTAAATAACCCATTATAGGGTTTATGGTCTAGGATTTGATCCTTATAGTAGTCCCTACCTATGTTACCCATTATAGAAGTTTCCATTTTCTTTTTACATTCCTCCATTCCCAGCTAACCAAAGCTAAATAGTCCATTTACTTCCTGGTGCCTAGTGAGCTTCAGGCAGTGGTACAAGGTTATACAGGGATTGATGGAGTTTGGGGTTTAGAATTGGGTATTACTGGAGAATCGCGTGAACGAGAAAACTGAACATGAAGTGGAATCTAGCATATACATTGTTTAGCTAATCTTGCTTATTGTTAGGGAGGACCAACTAGGGTCACGCCTGTAGCCCTAGAACAGAGAGCACGCTTTTGGCACATGTTTCTGTGTCTAAAGGCTGTAGCCCCAACCGTCTTGCTTCTTTGGCTATTCCTGTTATCATTCTCAGCATTTTGCTCTATCGGGGTTCTTGCCGTGGCATCCGCGAATGATGTGAACGACCCTCTGGAGGTCTGTTTCAAATCTGATGTTTTTGAGGTTTGTGATTTGTACCTGCGCGCTGTACCCTAACCATCAACCTCAAGCCCACGCACTAAACCCAAAACCCATGCTGCACTTCACGGAGAGGTCTGTGCTCCTGCTGAACAACATCAATCCGAGATCGCTGCTTTCAGTTGCAGCAGGCCGATGGATCAAAATACCACACGCGAAGCCTCATGAAGCAAGGACACTCAAACGGCAATGGTTGCAAAAAATAGCCATGATGTCAACACTCCGGTCTACATACCTCCCAACAGGTCTCCAGTATCGGGAGCAACCGTTAGAGCAGGAGTCTTGTTTTCGCGCTAAACGCTAAACACTCCGCAGGTGACTTGGCTGTGCCCGAACAGCTCAACTTGGCGTCGAAAGCACCGCAGAAGGAGCTCGGGTACTTTGGCTGGTACCCGTTACGCGGCAGCAGGGAACAAGGATGAGGAAGTTTTTCAATATTCCCCCCGGCGTGCCGAGTAGGGACGCCAAAAACCCATGTATCTTGTCTTTAAGGGTAGTCCGATCCTCAGAAACCCATCGAATGGGAACAGGAGCGGAATCTTAGGTCACAATGGTCAGTGCAGATTTTGCAAATAGTCGTAGTATGTAATACCATCACATCGATGATCCTCATGTATGTTTCCAGATGGACAGGAGTGGATGGCATGAACTTCATGTGTGCTGAACACTGAGGTGCAACTGGCAGGACAAGGACTCGCCTTGTGCGAAACTTGATGATCGCCTCCTTCCATCAAAGGGAAGCAAGACCTTCGAATGCCGCCCAGGCTGACCCAGCTCATTTTAGAATGACAAGGGTCATTGTTTTGGGCACCCTTACTATTGAAGCTATTGCCGTTATTATTATTACTATGACGCTTACTACTGTGGATACAAAATCTTGTACCGCTTTTACATGGTTGATTTCTTACAGCCCCGTACCCCCGTTTGAACATTGGCATTGCAAGCCTCCCGAAAACAGTTGTCAATGTTAACGTGGGGGTGTGGGGATGCATCGTCACGCAACAGAAGATGCCTATCATGTAGGTGGTGCAAGCTAAGATTGCCTCCATCCATTGCACTACCAGTACTATTACGATGACTATTACTATTACTACTGCTGTTGTTGTTGTTGCTACTGCTACTGCTACTGCTTCTGCTTCTGCTACTGCTGCTACTACTACTACTACTACTAGTATTATTATTACTGCTACTACTACTATTACTACTACTACTATTATTACTACTACTACTACTACTACTATACTACTACTACTACTACTACTACGACTACTGCTTTCTCCAAGCATGCATCTTGGAGCGGCCTTTGCGGGTCGGAATTCCAGAAGAGCCGATTGCTAAAAAGGGTGGCTTTCCTACTCCTTGCCCCTATATTTAAAGCAGTAAGATGGGGACCCCAAACAGGGAACCGCAACAATATAGTAGGAATATCATGGGGAAACAAGGAACCAGGAAGGTAGTATATTCCTACTGTATTTTTGGGGTCTCCATTCTACACTCTTTAAATTAAAGCCCACCACCACCCAAAATCACAACTATTCCCATCGTAGTCTACTATAGTACATTGGGAATTTTCAATATTAGGGGTCCGGGGGCTTCTCACAAAAGGGGACTACTCTGCTTCTTCTCATATTCCGTCATTGCTTTGGTGCTCCTTCGGGATGGGACCACTTGGAGGGTCAGGGGGGATTAGTAAGTATGCTTTGGGTACTGCCCCACCCAGTAACAGTTTATATGAGGGGTCCTATAAAGGGCTACATATAACCATAGTATTTTTATTATCCAAGTGTTAGTGAGGGGGGGCAGTACCCAAAGTATACTTATGAGCCCTAGGAACCAATTACTTACCCCAGTTATCCTTATTATAACTCTACTTACTACTAAGTCCCCAAGATGTGCTCCACCTGGCATGTTACCTTGCGATGCTGTCATGGCCATGCAAGTGGCAAAAAAGTCCACCTAAACCCTAAACCCTACCTGCTATAACCCTACTTACTAAGTCCCCTGACCCTCCAAGCCCTAAACCCTAAACCCTAAACCCTAAACCCTAAACCGATTTCGTATCTTTTTTTTGAAGCCGCAGTCTGAGGTTGGTGGGTGGGATAGCTATAGCTAGAGCCAGGGATGAGGTTTCCGAAAATTAGGGATACCTTTGAAGGGGGATATAGGGGTTCTATACGGTATATTATATAAGGATTTATAGTGTTTAGGGTTTCGCAAAATTAGGGGTACCTCTTTGGGGGTCCCCAGAACAAGGATTAAAGCGTTTGGGGTGTATACTGGGGTCCCGGATTTAGGGAAACTACCGTATAAGCTACCTCATCAGAAGCCCTAAACCCTAAACCCTAAAACTTGGTACACTTCCCTAAGCAGGCTGGCGTGGAGAGTGGAGCAGGTTGGCAGCGGGCGTCGAAGGGACAGGCTTCCAAGTCCCCAGCTTCGTTGCGGAGCTTCAGGCGGGGTATTTGGTCATTTAGGGTTTAGGGTTTAGGGTTTTAGGGTTTAGGGTTTAGGGTTTAGGGCAGAATGCGGGTATCTTTGCTGCTAGAATACTAGGAGTACTCTTATTGCTCTTAGAATTGCCAAGGCTTTCATTCTTGCGATGGCTATTCTTGTCACGTCTTTTAGCGTTACCATTCTAACTGCAGCTGCAATTAGTATTGTTGTTATTGTTTATTGTGGCTACCGAAGGGTTTGAGATGTACGGTTCAAGGGGCTTTTGGGTTGAAAGAGCGCTTAGGGCTTGAGGACATGTTCTTTTATTGAGCTCTGCAGAGACGCCCTTTCATTTTAGCATGGTGGGTCAAGTTGAAGGAAGCCAGATTGATTAGGGTAAGGGTTTAGGGTTTAGGTTCTGGCATCTTGCAGTTCCAGATTCAAAAGGGTTTAGGATTAAGGTTCAGGGAGGGTTGTAATTCATGCGGACAGCCTAGAGGCTCTGTTGGAAAAACAAGAACTATGAAGGGATTGTGCAGGACTTGGGGCAGTTCTCAAACGATGATGCCCCTCCCCATGCCTTAGCTTGACTTGTGAGCCCTAAGCTCTGAACGTCCCTATGCAACCCCAAAAAAACCCTACGCCAAAACCCTAGAACCCTGTCAAACGGTTTATTACATCTCTTGAGAGCTCCCGAGGTCAGTCGGGACCCCGAGACGCCGAGAGCTCAGAAAGTTTGCAGGTATTTTTTTGGCTTACTCTAGGGGGTTTATGATTTGGGATCTGGTTCCTTGGGTCTAGGGCAAGTTTAGGACTTCGGGTTTTCGATGCAATGCTGGGGACTTGAATGCTTTCAAGTGCTAATTACAGTACGTGTACATCTGCGTTGCTACAAGACTTAATGCAAGTAGATGCCTTTCATTGCCAGCTTGGGAAGAGGAATCTTTCAAATGATATCCTGGTAATTCAGTGTACGGAGGCCAACACCGGTGTAGAGATGCACTTCCTGGCTCCTAATTTAGACCTGCGATTAATAAACTGATAGGGGTAAAATAGTAACATAGGGGGGTATTGGGGATTATATAGGGATAATGGAAAAGAAAATGGAAACTACTGCTTAGGGTCACTAATAAGCTCCCTCCCTTTTACGTAGGTCCTTAATCTTAGGGTCCCTATTATAACCCCTCTGCGGGAAGGCGATTTATCAATCAGGGGTCTACATTACACCCCAAACCTAAAGCTTATGCTCTCGCCAGCAGATGCGACATACACACCGAAGCCAAAATGCTAACCCGTTTCGAGCAAGGCTCGCCAGCTTTGCGAAGGAGATCCCAAGGAGATGGCCAGGAATAAAGAGCCTGGGTCATTGCTAGAAACATTTGGTTGTTTCCCTAAATAAGGGGACTCCAATATAGACACCAATATATCATAATCGTCATTAAGGTGGAACATCTAATTTTGGGAAACTCCCATTTTTTTTTACGAGGAACATCTCAGTTGCCAATTGCGAAACTGAGATTGACATTTCAAGGCCAGCAAGACACAGACACACACACGCGCACACACACACACACACGCGGTGTGTGTGTGTGTGTCTGTGCAGATTTGTGCATTTTCACATGTCTACACGTGCCCACCCTGATTTTTGGTCATATAGTCCCCCTTAAGTAGATAGAGAATATGGTGTATAAGGGGATATTACTATAATATACCCAAAGCCATATTCTATCTACTTAAGGGGCCACTATACCCACTATCGATTTTGGTCATATGCCACCCCAACTACTTCCCTAAACGCTATAGTAGTTTCCATGCCACCCCAAGTACGATGCAGGAACGTGATCAGTTCACACTTCACCTCTCCTTTGCCCGTGCCGTGGCCTTCAACTGTCTGGGCAGTCTGGGGTATTATTAGGGTTATGGTTTAGGGTTTAGGGTTATATTGTGTATATATTGAAACATCTATAATGGAGAATCAAATGGAAAAGTAAATGGAACATGAAATGGAAACTGGGCGAATATAGGGATTTAGGGGTTACATTGGGGTTACATTGGGATAATGGAAAAAAGACGGAAATCACGATGATGGGTTATATAGGGTTTAGCGTTTAGGGCTTCGGGTTTGGCATTCAGGGCTGGGTAAACGGGGATAGGGTGTAGCCGAGGGCGCAGTGTAAATGGCAACAAATCATGGCTCCTGACTAATGCCTTCCCGCCCCCCTGTACAAGAGGGGGGTTGGAGGAATTAAAATTCATTCTCACCCCCACCATGATGCCTTCCACCCCCGCGCTAAATGCACCAGTTCTATGAGTTTGTCCTAGCATGTAGAGTTTTGCAGGGCATTCAGCCGGTGACTTGCGCAGGTTCATTTGATGAAGGGTGATGATGACTTTTTGAATTGATGCTCATGGCAGATCATGGTCAGTACCTGTCTGTGGACATGCGTCATAGATTGAATCTTGTTTGTTTGTATATGCTTTGCTGAAGGCCTCGTAGGCCTGTGACGTCCTGCAGTTGCATAAAATGTTCTGTAATTTGCATTTTGGGACCCAGACCTTGCTGGCTGGGTGGCAAGGAATTATGCTGGTTTCTAAGGTCACGCAGGAAAGCCAAAATGATATGAGCTACTGTCTAAACTCCTAGTATCCCCCTTAATAACCCCTATAGTAGTCCCCTATATAATCCCCTATGTATCCCCCTTTAAGGAGTTTAGACTATAGCTCATATTGAATTATTCAGGCCCCTGTAGTAAGCTTCCTTCGGAATATTTTAAGTGCTGAAGCCTAGGCTTGGAGCAAGATTTCTTCGACATGAGCTATAGTCTGATAAAACTCCTCAGAGGGGGGTTTGCGGTTATGTAAGGAATTAGATAGGGGAGGGGGATACCAGGAGTTCAGACTATGGCTCACATGAGGTGTCAAGAGGTTCTACTGAGACTCCGAAAGTCTTGATTATGATGGAATAAGCTATGATTTTCGAGTGCCGCTTGCAGCTTCATGGAGCGCGTTCAATAAAAGTTTGGCTGGTCACGAGCAAAATGCATGAGCCTCATAGCATCAGCTGCTGCATGCCTACAGGTTATCTTTGAACACTGTGTCATTTTCATGCAGTCCTGCCTCAAGGCATCTTACGACCACCTAGCTGTCCTGGGGACTGGCCCTCTAAACCCTAAACCATACAAACCCTACAAACCCTAATCCGCCCGGCTAAGGCTTCAAGTGAGATGGTTTCGAAGGCCATAGCGGCAGTATGCCGGGGGCCACCAGGGCCAGCCGCACGCACGGCCGATCTGAGCTCGACTCTAGGCTTTTGGTTTAGGGTTCATAGGCT